TGCGCTGCAGGCACGCGTCAAGCTGGACAGAATATGACAGACCGGACAGGAAGTGAGACAAGGAAACGCACAGAGCATCCGGTCAATTTCAAAATAAAACACAATATACGGACTCGCGATCGTATTTTTCATCACTTTGTCAACATTACGTCAAAACAGGCAACAAATTAACAACAATTCATCCTCAGAAAGACAAAGCAACATGTTGTTTGCATGTTTTTCTCTTTATTCCCGCGGGATCTTGTAGTTCTCCTGTGATGTGTCATGGGTGCGCTCCACTGCGCTGACGTCCCAGAAATGATCCCAGAGTCTGATGGCTTAGACTTTTGGTTCACAGATACATTACAATAAGATAATCGGATTCTAAAAGTGTAATGTAAAAAGCTGATGATCAAAACATGAAAAAAACAAGGTAAAATACCAAACACTGTCTGAGCTTCCGACTGACGTACAAAGACGCCGGCGATATATAATAATAATAATGAATTGACATGGAGTGTAAGAGCTGATATGAAAAAAAGATTAGACTCATTTTAACAAAAAGATTGTTGTTGTCGGCTCTGATAACAATCTCAGATTTTTTGAGTATCAATAATGCCATTAAAATAAAATAAAAAAGCCTCATGAAAAAGATTGATCTGTATAATTTCTACATTTTTTACATTGAAACACATAAAAAGAAATTTCCTGCACACTGTCATTTCACTGCTGCACTCCTGTTCTACAGGCTCCTGCTGAGCAGGAATTCTGAGTCAGTAGAAAAGAAACCTGTATTTCTTGATATTACCTTATTATCCTCTCTAATTACTTTGCTCTCTCATAGAGTCAGTCTGGGTCCTGTCAGAGTAGTTGTGCATTAGTTGTCCACGTCTACTTCTGTCTCACTGAACATTGACAAAACTCCCTCACTTGCTTTTTGTCCCGGCATCGGACTCTTTAATCAAACACGCACATCCCCGAAACAAAGCCTGTCTTTTTCCTCTCTAGACTGCAGCAGCTGCTTCACTCCCAAATTCTGGGCTGCCTCATTAATTTTTACAGACTCAAATGCTAGAGAGTGAAAGAGGGAGAGAGAGAAGATAACAGACGGAGAAAGGCAGAGGGAAAGATGAATGGAGAGCAAAATTGAGAGTTACGTAAAGAGAGACTGAGGCAAAGAGGAGATGTGGAGGGATGAGTGTAAGTTAGAGAGAAAATGACAGGAGAAACACAGTAAAGAGCATACAGGCTTGTGTGAGAGTTCAAGAAATAGAAGATAAGAAAGTAAACTGAACTTCTTTTTTTTAGATTCACAGTTTAAGACAGCCTCTGGATTTAGAATCTCTCCCATCCAAATGAATTATTCAGTAGCTTTTTGGTCTATAAAGCCAGTTTTGACTCAGATTGACCACTAGCTTCCACAGCTAGTGAAAATGACAGGTTGACCTGCTGCAGTAATCATTTATTGGTATATTTTTACCTCTTCTTTTTTTAATCAGGAGAGGCAATACTTGGAGAGGAGAGGGTGGATGGTCCAAATAAATATATGATTTGAGGAATAGTTATAAAATCCAAACTATTTTTGTACCAGGCTGTAAAGTGTTTCATTTTATTGTTAAGGTTATCTTTTGTATATGAACTTTAACTTTAATTTGACTCCCTTTTTACCTAACCCCAAGTGGCCGCTCAAGAAACTGCACTAGTTTAAACTTTCCTGTTAGCTTTATATATCAGACCTGCGGTTGCACGAGATTAACAAAGTATACTGTAGTGTAGGAAACTAGACATTTATAATGATTACTTAGCTCTGTTACACTGGTAACTGAAAACTTAAGCTTCCTTGCAGGAATGTTGTTCTTCCAGCAGACAAAACAGAAACTGGAAGGGTTGGATACGTGTGAAAAGGAGGTGTGCATGTACGTGTGTGTGTGTGCTGGATTTAAACGTGGTTTTGAACTGACTCATGCAGTCTGATGGGTCACTGGTTTGGCCTGCTCTGTCAGTTACATTGACAGCATGAAGACTTAATTATGATACATGGTGTTCTTGTACATAACCCTTTATTGGTGTTTAATCTTACAGTTTTACTAACATTTTCTGAATTGTAATGATGCTGTGGCATTACATGTCCAAGGAAAGGGGTTTACCGCAGCTCAAATGATGTGCTGATTTTTTCAGGGAACCATTAGAATTTCGAAAGGACAGAATGTAGTCCTCTTCTCTCTTATTATCGAGGACAAACTCCTCGATAATAAGGTTTATTTGAGACCAACCCTACACATTTCTCATTATTATCATGTAAATGTATATCATGTAAGGATGTTTATGAATAAAATGCAGGTGTTTGTTTTATATACACACATTTTCTCTTGTATCTTATGTGACTGTCAGGCAGCCCCTCTTTATAAGCTCTGCTTTAGTAGATATCCATCACACAACAGAAAAAACTTTAAGCCAGAGGCCAGAGTACATATTCCATTACCAACGTTAGTCAACAGAGTAACATATTGTGCAATTCTTCTACTGAAATGTGATGACAGTATAGTTTGTCGCCAGTCATGCGGACATCTTCTCCGCTCCACTGATACTGATTACTTTTCTGTACAAACCATATTTTATTTGTAAAACATTTTGAAGGTGTGTGTCTTTGTCAATCCAAAACTATACTCATTGCCTGGCTCTGTTATCTTGAGGTAAAATATCCTCCAAGGTACAGCAGCTATCTGTCAAAGTCAAAAGTAAAAGTAGTATGGATAAGTTTGCACCAAAACTGATTTCAAAGAATTAAAAATAATACAACTATTACTAAGCACAATGTTTGTTTAGTTCTCTAGAGCTGTACCAAAACTGATGACAGTATCAGAAATGTCCAATGACTTGTTCTTTTTCTCCAAAACAAAACCCTACATAGAAAATATTGCTGCCACTAGCAACTCCTGTTTTTGACCAATACAAAGAACACCTTTTAGTCACATATTCATCTTACAGTAGAGCAGTGCTAGCAATGTGTAATGTGCCCATGCACCAAAATGTTTTATAATCAATCAAATGATTTTCATTGGTTGGTTTGAAAAATGTGGACAACACCCATATAGATTTGCAGACCAAAAGCCTGATAAGTGCCATGATGACAGGTATGGTCAAACTTGCAAATAGTCCCAAGTTGTAAATAAGTCCAAAAGAAAATCAGTGTTTTCAGTCAGTATTTTTGATTATAGCTTCATGGAAAAAAAAAAAAAAGAGCGAATCTTCACAACACTTCACAGCTTTGGATGAGTACTCTGTGTCTGCCAATACTCAAGTCTAGGTATATGAATGAGTATGTGGAAAGAAAAATTATACTGCAACATCTGTTGTTCCCTGCAGACCACTCAGTGTTGTGTTAATGTGGCTGGAGTGGCTAGCTACACACAAAAGGCATATGTTTTGCCAAGAAAAAAAAAAGCAATGAACTTCTACAAATGGAAGTAGTTTAACTTTGGGGGTACAGGGGGGGATGTGGATCCCAGCTGTAAGACATTTTGTACAATTTAACAACAAATACACCTCTGTTACCTCTTTAGTCACTCTATAATCTTTTTCATTTTCCAATGACTGCAGGGATTTGAATAAGTCAAGACTGTGTTATTCGTTAATAGTGTTCGTCATCATTCAGCATACCTTTCCTGAAAGTTATGTGTAAAACCTTTTGACCATGAAACGTCATTGTCCTCCGTGAAGAATGTTTCTATCTGAAGGACAGACATAAAACAGCAGCTGTATCCAGGTTGCCCGTTGTATTTGTAACTTCAGACTACATGTCATGTGAGGTGAAGGGATGAGGAGTTGTGAGTAGAGGGGGGGATGGTAAACGTCATAGGAGAGACCGTCTGTTTCCATCAGAAGGTCTGCTGTGTGTCCGCTGTCATTGGTAGGCATTTCTGTGCTTTTAGCAGGAAAGGACACAGGATCTGTTTTTGCTGCTTACACACACACACACACTCACACACACACACACACACACACCAAACGCACACACATCAGCTAAAAATCTCCTTTAAGAACACAAGCAAATTCATTGCAGAGCTAGCTTTGAGCAGTGACATACTCCTAACAACAAAAAGCTGTTGTAACATCTGGTTAGTATTTGCTGTCCCTGGATGCCTCTGCACGTTGCTCCGAGTTTTTTTTTTTTATATGATTCCAAAAATTCCTCCTGAAAGAACGGAGTCATTCAAACAAAAGAAACTTTAAGAAGCACACCACCAGTGGGGAAGCAATTTCTGCTGCTGCAACACTTTGAGTTCGATGTTAACTTTCAATACATGTTTTTTAAAGAATTTGTATCAGGAACTATCCTTTGGTTCACTGTAGTTCATGCTGTAATCATCACATCCTCTTTCATATCCTCCCTTCACTCCTTTCTGCTCTGTGGGAGATAATAAAAGACGTCAATACATGATCTGTGAATATGCTGATGTGAGAGCTGTAGTATCGACTGCGAAATGGGGCTTCACAGACACACACACACTTGCACACACACATACCATACAGCAGAAGTGCTAAAGACCACTTTTAAAGCAGGCTGTGTACATTCATTCATTTTTACGTCTATTATCTACACCATTGATGCAAAACGTGAAACATAATGTATCATGTGTCTTCTCTGTTTTTTTAATTCATGCATTTAACATTTCCTTTCTAGTTTTGAAAAAGCTTTTCGCTGCAGTAGAAGTCAATGGTTTGTGATATTTTCACTTGTCCGCTTCAGTTTAGCCCATTACATTGCCAATATAGAAATGAATGAGTCCATACATAAAGCAGTTACCGTCACTTTTTTTTTACAGCTGCAAGGACTAAAAAAATAACTTGACATCACTGTTGATTTAGTGTGCAGAAACACTACGATTACACTTTGTAGTGAAAGGATAAATTGCAGTAAAACTTAAAGACACAGTTGAGGGGATGATTTTAAGAACTATTTAGTGGTTCACCTGCTGTTCGTCTGACCCTCTGGCTCTGCCTCATCTCTTTTCCTTCAGATCCAGCCCTATGATAAGATTGCGGCCAGAGGTCTGCCGGACAACGTCGCTGACTGCCTCAACAAACTAGTGGTGGTGAAGCTGAACGGAGGCCTGGGGACCAGCATGGGATGTAAGGGCCCCAAGAGCCTGATCAGCGTCCGCAACGAGAACACCTTCTTGGACCTCACTGTGCAGCAGATAGAGGTACAGAAAGCCTATGAATGCCTCACTTCAAGGCCTTGAAAGAACATATGACAAACAATATCACCCAACCTTGAAGGGTTGTTGTTCAGCAGCTCTGAAGAAGAGATTCTAGTGTGTAAAAAAAGTTTGGCGGGGGAAAGCCAACTAAGCCAACTGTTTCTAAGTATTTCTATTGTCAGAAAATGGGTTTTTGTTGATCGTTACATGTTGTCCTTTAATTTGCCAACCTTACAGCTGCTCACCAAAATGAAAGAGAAAAAAAAAAAAAGAGTTAAGGATTTTTTAAAAGAATCATTGTGGATGTCTTTCTGGGTATTGTCCATGGCACAGTCAAACCCATGGCTGACAGCGCTGTAAACCTGCCCTCTTCAGTGCAGGCTGATGTAAATCACATGGATACAACATTCTCTGATGCTTCAACTTCAGTTGGCCCCGCCATGAGCTTGAAAACCTCGTCTTCTTCTGCTAGCAGTGTGAACACCGGCCCTCTAGTCTGGGCACTGACTGTTCCCTGGTCACCATTGTGCAATTAGCTCAACCTGTCTGTCAGCAACCTCCATAAATCAAACAACTACAAGACATCAGAGAGAGTGAATGACATCAGTAAATCTGTTAACCTTATAATTATAGTGTACAGTTAAATCAATCTATAAACATGTGCTTTTTTTAGATCAATGGGACAGGTTTCCAGAAACATTTACATGATAATCACGTTGTTATTGTGTGCCTGTTGAAGGATGAGTGAAAGATGACTTGTACCTTCTACTATTGTACACATGCGCTTCTATTTTAACATCAGCTTCATTCTTCAAAGAACAATAGTTCATTTTTCTTTTCTTGGGGGGTTTATCAACACTAAGGTTTGGAATCGCAGCTTAATATCACCATACAATGCGAGATATGTGGAATGACGGTAAAATTCTGTATTGATGAACAATGTAGAGACATGACTCAGAAATATATAAAATGTCATTGTGTTGACGAATAGATAGAGGTGTCACAGAATTGCCTGCTGCTGTTCAGGAAGGCTTCACAGTGTGTACGCTTCGTGGGTTCCTCACATTGCACTGCGAACAGCACTTCTTTAAGAAACACTACTGTGGTTGAGTTTTGGCAGCAGGATTGAAAGTCATATTTTGATCTACGCAGAGCAGAGGTGTGGAGTTCACAGCAAGAGAACTGAAGGAAGGAAAGAATGTCTGTAATGTGAGAATGGGTGGGACAGGGGAGCAGGAAGTGATTTACCATATGATGCAATACAAACCTCTGCTGTGCTGTTTTGCTATGATGTAGTGATGTTTGAATAATGTCTGTGTCTCAGTCTGCTTTTGAATTGAGTTCTGGTAGTCTCAAGATGGGAAGTTAGACTTATTTATTTATCGCAGCAGGATATAAAAGACTGAAACTATTTAATTTTCAGAGGATTTAGGGGATGAAAAAAAACCACCACTGCCTTTTTGTCAGCAACATTTGAAAACATGTTAAAGCTGCATGCAAAATGATTCCTCCAGGATCAAGCTCCTTTATACTTTATGTATCTGAGGGGCAGGGGGAAAGACATTAGTTGTTGTTATTTGTTTATTTGGTTTTTTTAGGGACTGAAGGTCTTTTGAGAGGAGTTCAGTCAGTGTGATGTATATGTAGTGTGCCTGTGGTGAGTTGTAGTGAAAAAGGATCTGTTGCAGGCGGGCAGGTCTGCAGGAGTTGGCAAGGAAACAGAGGAGGCTGTGTGCAGGAGGAGAGGAGTGGGTCTGAACATGTGTGTGTGTGTAGATTTTTGTGCCTGATCATACATCAAGATCATTTAAAAAAAGAGTGCATGTATGTACCATATTAACAATGAATGTGTTCATTCACCTTGGTTCATTCATGTTCTGAAGTTTAGAAATAATGGCAGTTTTTGAAAAGTTTTTGGGATACATTTCAGAGAGTAAATGAACAGAGTAAAGTTTTAGGGCAGCTTCAGTATCGCAAAATCTGCCTTGAGATGATGATGCCAGAGGATGGAGTGTACAGGGTTGTGTAATTGAGGTTACGTGGGGGGATGTGTGGCTACCTAGTGTTTGCGTTTCATAACATCCCCATGGGACGCTCTTCTCCTGCTGACACACTGCTCTCTGTGTCCGAGACGCCGCTCCACATTTTTCTGCTCGGGTCTGGTCAGATTACTTACTGACTGAATTGGCCTATTTAGAAGTGAGAAAATGGATCCTATAGACACACCTGCACAGCCACACACACTCACATATCCATAACCCTTTAGCTGCCGGACTGCCTCCATGCACATTTATTTGGAACACTTCTGTTTCAGAGAGCTGTACATTTTTTATTTGAGCTCGAAGTGTAAGATTGAAAAGGCGCCCCCTGGCTGCTGAAGATTGAACTGCTTTCTCCCTGAAACCTGTTCATGAGGTGGCAGTTTTTAGCCTTGGATGCAAGACCTTGAACAGGGTGTCTTAAAGGTACAGAGCAATTTTAAGATCAGCTATCTGGAACAGTTCTTAAATAATGAGGTGAGAACTTTTCCAGATATCCCGACCTTTGGGTGTAGCCAAAAACGTAGAAAAGCTTGTAATATTGAAGCACTCTTTTCTTTCAATTACGTCCATACATTTTCAGATGAGCTTGCTTTTTAAACTTACTCATAGTGATGATCTACTGGCTGTTTGAGGTTATTTTAAAATTCATTCTTTAGAACTAGAGATTCAGTCGATGTGTGTTGATCATCTGATTCAATTAGATTAATCAGCAGAAGTTTAGATCACATTTTTTTATTAGTCTTTAATAAAAAAAGAACAAAAACTCACTGGGTGTTGTTAACATGTGATTTCCATTTGCAGTATTAAACGAAATATATATATTGGTTTTCAAATTGGTTCAAAATGACAAGATATCTGAATAAGTAAGATTGATTTTAAGGTAAATTTTCACCCAATAAAAAATAATTACAGAGAATTTACAGGTGTATTACGAACAATTAAAATAGCGTGCTTTTGCGGCTGTCCTTATGTATTGAACTTTGAGTCATTTTAGGTTCTTGAAAAAAATTGGGGGTTGAGCATTTCTCCTTCATCTAGCTAATCCATGGTGTCCATGGTAACTGAAGAATATAATAATATAATTAAGCTTGATTTGCTGCATAAAAACAGGCTGAAACATCAGACTATTAAAACCCTTTTGTGGACTTGTTTAACTGACAGTTTGATCCCTGGCTTGTTGCGCTTTAACAAATGATGCGCCTGACAAATACAGGGGAAGAAGTTACCCCTGCAGTTTTATCGTTCGCTCTTCATTATTGAGTGATGAACGGCCTTTATGGTGCTATCACGTCTATATCGGTTATGCTGTCTATGTTTTCTGATCTGTGATGAAATTAAAAGTTGTGTCATCATGTTGAACATCCTGAAGAAAGTGCTCTGTCTCCATAGTTCACTTAGTAGTGCGGTTTCTGCAGCACATGAGACAGAGATGGTCGGCACTACAGTTTATAATCAAATAACATGCTCGTGACGTCCATCTTTGTAATTTGTTTAAGAAAGGTTTGGGCTTGCGTTAATTTTAACAACCCTTAAGTGTGTTTAGAATGTGTGTTTGAGGTTGACGAGTGAAAAATGTGTTTACAGAGCTCTTCAACATCCTGAAGTGTTCTTAGTTTTCCACACAAAGGTGTGCGCAGGATAAACACCGTCACATAGCTGAACAGCTTGTTGAAGCATTCTTAATGAGAAGTGAAGGCCAGCTAACCTCCATCCTGCTTTATTCAATTATTGATTTTTGTCACTGGCTTGAAATTCCACCCTTTTGCTTCTTACCCCGTCGTCTTCCTGATTTATATTTGATTTCTCACCCCTCTTTTCTATTAACTTTAACTTTCTCTTATCTTGGTTTAAAAAAAGACTTCCATTGCTCCCGGGGCACTACTTTCCTGCTTTGTATTCAGTCTAATCACATGATCAAGTAACAGAGATAAAGTCGGGAAACTGTCTCTTGTGTTGTTCTTCTTAGTACTCATTTTGTGGTTAAATGATCGAGGAATTCAAATATATATTTTGTTAACTCTAAGCGTCAAAACATATCCCCACTTTCATAAAACAAAGTAAAAAGCTGTCACATGTATTTAAAGATAAACTCAACAATAAAAAGTTTGCTGCTATCAACATTCAACAATAATTCTTATTTCTATCAACTATGATTATCTTCATATATTAACACTACAGGCGGTATCAATTAAGCATAATACAAATATAGAAACAAATGTAATAATCTGAATAAATAATGCTAAAGTTTTTTTTTTTTTTTTTTTTAATGTTCCTCAGCACCTGAACAAGACGTACAACACCGACGTGCCCCTGGTCCTCATGAACTCTTTCAACACAGATGAAGACACAAAGAAGATCCTGCAGAAGTACACACACCACCGTGTCAAGATCCACACCTTTAACCAGAGCAGGTAAGAAAACACACTAATGACACAGGGGTTTATTGGTAAATAAAAATCTATGGTTATGTATTATCTTTGATCCTGAATTTGTCCCCTCAACCGTTGACTCTGTGTTTTGTTTTACCAACACTGTGTGTTATCTCGAGACGCTTTACTAATACATAAAACATGCGTATCAGTTTGAGCAGATCCTTTCACTGCCACTCTGATGCCACAATTGATCCCAAGCAAGCAAATCTGAGTTGGCTGAAGTGAGAAAGCACCAAGATGTAATCATTAGAATTCACCTTGATCGAGTGGGAGGGGGTGGTGACGATAATGTCTTGTGACCAGTTTACGGAGCATAGACTGTATACATGTGACCGCTACGATCTCCGTGCACATAATTTTACATCTGCATTGCGTTTTCTATTCACCAGTATGTTCTTCTTCGTTCTTCAGTTGATATTGTGATTCTTTTGAAAGACTTACAGCACTGATGTAAAGGCAGTGTTCTCATTAAAGTGTCGCATATCGGACTCTGTTGTTTCATCCGCCTACTACCTGTCTTTTTTTCCCTCAGTCCTCCTGAACAATCTAGATATTTTCAGGAGTGCATATTTGAAAACAGTGTCAGAGGAGGAATTACAAAGAGAAAAAACTCACTGCTTAGGTCTGTGTAAGACTCAAATTGGACTTTTAAACTTTTGACATAACGATGTAAGAACGGTTCCTTCTGAGGCAGAACGTTTTGTTTTTTCCTTTCTTGGATCAAATGTTTCACAGATTTGGGGTCAGAGATGACACCAAACCTTTGAAGTCTGCGACTGCACATCAAATCCACTTATCTGAAACATCTTCACAGAAGCGTTGGCTGGAATTAAACCTCAATTAAAAAGGCTTGGACTGTGCGGCTCCTCTCACCTGACCAGCTCATTTGCGCTCTGAAGTATCCTCAAACTGCCAAAACCTGAGCCGGGTACCCGCCCCTATCTCTTCCTTATTACGGGCTTGGTAACTCAGCCTGACGCAGATCCTTCTTACAAACCCTTTGATCAGTTTTAATGCAGAAAACCTTGATGGCTCTTTGGCTTGTTGCCTCATTTGCCTTCTTGGAAAAACTTATACCTCCTGACGAGGTTGTTTGAAGTCCTGTAGTGATAAGAGAAGAAGAAATTTACATGGCACCTGGCAGGCTATTTGCTTGCAAAGTTTCCCTGGCTTTACCTATGATGCCTGTTTTCCCTCTTAACATGTCGAGAGTGAGATTCACAGCTCTGCAGTGGGTGACTATTATGAGTCAGTGTGTTATTTTACTTACGTAGAATTATATACTTCTATATATATGCTTAAGCTGATTTGTTTCCATATTAAATAATAAGATTACCTGTAAATTTGTGTTTTGGTTCAGACCCCCTGCTGTAATTAGAAATCATTTTAATTAAAATATTTATCTGTTTTCAAAGCATAAATAACCTTATCATTGGTACCAAATACCAGATGGAGAAAGCTAGCAACTTGCTGATGAATATTTCAATAGCTTAAGAGTCTGATATTTACTTGGGGAGTTGGAGGAGATCGTAGCGGCTGCAGCGTCAGAATCACATTGCGGCACACCTTCTAAGTTGAATCATGACTCCATTCATGACTTCCTCTGTCATCCAAGCCCACGATCATCTCATGATATGGTGGAGGGCATCCACAGTTCCCCGCGCGGTCTGAATCTGTCTTCTTGGATGGGCATTTGTAGAGTCCAAGTCGCCAGTGAAGAGGAAGAATCTGGAGAAGAACGGCAGTGTTACGTTGGCATAGAGCGCGTTGTTAAATCTGTGCTGTAGCCTTTTTGTGTGCCTGATCCAAAATTAAATCATGTCAAATTGGCTACATGATAAAAACCAGTGCTATGAAGAATAGATATTGGACAAAGGTCAGAATCCACCCCTTTGCTCAAAAACCCAATATTAACTCTTATCTTTTATCAATGTATAGATGGTGGTGTTAAATTCTCTGGAAATTCAAAAAGTCTTTTGAGTGTAATCAGAAAATTAATTATGTTATTAAGTTATCATCTAGCAGAAATTCTGTTAACATAATGGCTGATCATTTTCCTCCTACTGTCCAGGTACCCTCGCGTCAACAAAGAGTCCCTTCTCCCTGTGTCCACCACCTTGAGCATGAACGGGCAGAGCGCCGAAGGCTGGTATCCTCCAGGGCACGGCGACATCTACGCCAGCTTCTACAACTCGGGCCTGTTGGACCAGCTGATCGCGCAGGGCAAAGAGTACATCTTTGTGTCCAACATCGACAACCTGGGAGCCACCGTGGACCTCCACATCCTGCACCACCTGGTCAGCCAGCCCAATGGCAAGCGCTGCGAGTTCATCATGGAGGTGACTGATAAGACACGGGCAGACGTCAAGGTAGGATCTGTTGAAAACAAGTTTTAGTTTGTGATGTTTTATGTTTACAAGATTTGATATACGTGTGTTTGGTTTATAGAACAGTGTTTTATTGCAGACAGAAGACATCTTTACATAAACGCAATTAAAACAAATAACAGTATAGTGGTGATGCGTTCACCATACGTTGTAAACAAAGAGATTCAAACTGAGAACAATTGGAGATTATACTTAATTTAACATTGCTATGGTTGTAAAAAATGACACATTTATGATCCCTTATTTTGTTCATTATGCAGTTGAGTATAGTTTTTCTTGCAGTACCTTTAACTGAATGAATAACCCCCCTTTAGGAAATCATTATTTCTCAAATACAATTGTAATATATTGTGCTAAGTTGTAAAGTCAATCACTCACACACACTGAATGAGTTTTAAAATCGCTGACTCGTTGATTTTCAGGGTGGCACGCTGATCCAGTATGACGGAAAACTGCGTCTGCTGGAGATCGCGCAGGTCCCCAAGTCCCATGTGGACGAATTCAAATCAGTTTCAAAGTTCAAGATCTTCAACACCAACAACCTGTGGCTCTCGCTGCCCGCGATCAAGAGGCTGCAGGAGCAGAAAGCGATGGATCTGGAGATCATAGTCAACCCCAAGGTGAGTAGAGGGGCAACAGTGAAGGGAAAATGATGAAAACAGTATGAACACCCATGAGGCATAGAAGAAGTAGCTGGCTTTACGTACAGTTAGCTTTAGTTCAGTGAAATACAGAACAAAACACATGTTGACATAACCAACTTAATTACTCAGATGTTGGATTAGTTGCAGAAGAGACTTATGAAAAAGTAACTTCTAAGGATTTGCATCTGTTACCATGTGGTGGAAACACTCACTGCAACATTACAAAGATTTTGGTGACTAAGCCTGATTAAAACAGCTTTCATCAAACGGCCTCCATCAGGACAACAAACAAGTCTTATCTCTGTTATGTCAGCAGCAGAGTAAACCAAACCAAGCTTGTTTTCCCTTCAATCATGTAGTAACATGATGTAAAGATTTTGAGAGCTTTCTCTCAGGACTACTAGTTATTGTAGATTGGGCCAGTCACCAACAGGATCAGCATCAGCATGATGCAGCATGAGGCTCCATGTTTATCCTTTACCAAAGGTCTTGGTCATTTATAAAGCAGAGTAGACAACAGATCTGACTAGATGTTATTTTGGTTGTCTTCACTCGGGGGCACAAACACACACACACACACACAAAAGTGGAAGGGTAGGTCGCCAGCGTAATGAATTCCCTGCACAATCATCTTTGCTTTTCTTGGCCTTTAGTTGTAATTTTCCAGCCCCAGGTTACAGATTGCACCATGACATCGCAAGTGTTATGTCACTAGTGACGAGTTGTGTGTGGCTTTACATAAGTGTGCGGTCCCATTAAGGTACGAGTGTGTCACTAAACTTGGAGAGTCAAAGGATGATTGTGAAACTGTGTGCACTTCAGTTAAAAAAGAGGCACTTAAGATAAAAGCCTCCAGAAAGTGTGGAATGTTAACTCTCTCTGATAGTTATACCTGTGACCTGGTATAATATGTTGTTATATCACTGTTGTCATGGGAATCCTTCCAGAGTCTAATTTTAGCTCACAGTGTTCAACTTCTCCGTTTAAGGAAAAAATGAGCGCTTCCTAAACTTGAGCATGAGGGTGAAGAAGCTCGGTGTGGCTGCTCTGAGACGGAGTAATGCTTAGTGCTATCATGCTGATGTTTAGCAGGTGAAACTTAGTTTAGCCTTTTAGCATACCTACATTTACTGATTAGAATTAAACACAAACTCAGGATGAAGGAGACTTCCTCAATGTGGGAGGTATTTGTTTGTTCTTTTGTTTACCTTGGTCAAAATCAGAAGTTTCACCAGGTGATTGCACGAGAGGAAAGGTCAAGTGTTTATCAGAGTAATTCTGACTACCTCAAGAAAGTGAGGTATTTCAGTGAGGACTACAATAGCAAACCAACAGACAGACTTTCCAATAGACCCCGTCTTTAAGGTAAATTCTGTAGGTTTTCGTCAAACTGGTTCAAATATATGAGCACTGAAATGACATAAATATGAAATACTTTGTGCACTTCCCCACTTTGTTTTTTCCCTTGTTTTCTACATTGGTTTGTATGTAAATGTGCTTTGTATTTATGTCATATATAAGACAATGTTTTTTAAATTCTCCCTGAGATGATATTGGTATGAACCTGAGGTCATTTGATCTCATGCTGGGGTTCTATCTCCAGCCTCTCCTCCTGCTCTGGACTATCGGGATAGTAACCTTTGACTGAACGTGAACTACAAATAGCACATGAGCTGTATTGTACCGGCCTAGATGACATGTCTGTTCTGTTCTACAGTGTAACAATGAAACTATAATCATTGCTTACAGATAATGCCAGAATGTTTAATGGCTTCCAAAATGTAGAGGTTACATTTGCAAATTGTCCTGCTGTTTTCTTTTCAAAGAAAGGTTGTGTTGAATGAGGTGTGGGGTATTTTTCCTCCTTGTGGCTCATTAATGTATCGAGAGATTCAGAGAAGGAAGACAGTGAAGAAACTTCCTCTTAGTTTGAGACGTGACACTGTTTTCGCACAATAACCAAAACGCCCCTGTTCCTCTCTCCTGTTGTTTGTCATCAGACGCTTGATGGAGGACTGAACGTTGTCCAGTTGGAGACGGCTGTCGGAGCGGCCATCAAATGCTTCGACAACGCCCTGGGCATCAACGTACCTCGAAGCCGCTTCCTGCCCGTCAAGACCACATCAGACCTGCTGCTGGTCATGTCCAACCTGTACAGCCTGGACGCCGGCTCGCTCACAATGAGCCCCAAGAGAGAGTTCCCAACAACGCCGCACGTCAAACTGGGCAGCTCCTTCACAAATGTAACTATAGCAGGCAGCTGTGGTTATATAGAAGAGAATGGGGCACTCTTTACTGACAGGGACCTTTTTTTTTTAAAACAACCTTGGCTCGGTAGAAAAATGAAAGAGCTGGTTCATCCAAATGACAAATAATAAATGCAATTTTCTCGTTTTCCTACAAGAATGTGTAAGTTGATAAAGGTGGATCTGGTGGAGAAGATTACCATTAGCACAAAGCATCAACAGGTTGTGTTTAAAACGTGTCTTTTTGGAAAAGCAATACCTTAAATTGATTTTTGTCAACTTAATTTTTCCTTCAGTCAGTCCCATGGATGAATCCTTTCCTAAGTTCATTTTCTAATTCAGTTTGGTAACTAACTAATATCTGTACTGTATGACAAATTACAGGTTACATTTCTGGTATTCAAAATAACATATTTAAATGTGTTGTTGTATGTGTAGCATTGGATTAGATTTGATCTAAATAAAACCTGAAAATCAGATAAAGTAGATATAAATGTTTTCCCAAGGGATGAATAGGGATGAATTCATTCAAACAGATCCCTAAAGGTGTCACCCACTGACAGGAAAACGTTTATAAAAACCTTCCTTTCCATATGTGTTCAGGTTCAGGAGTATCTGACTCGCTTCGAGAGCATCCCTGACATGTTGGAGCTCGACCATCTGACTGTGTCGGGAGACGTCACCTTGGGGAAAAACGTTTCCGTCAAGGTAAATATGTTTTTTTTTTAAAGTTTGACATACTAAGAGAAAAAAGTTAGTTACATTGTTTATCAGGACATCTTTCAGTGACGTGTGTTTTTACTCGGCCTTGGAAGAGGCTCGAAGTGTAACAAAGGTCAATAAATGAAATAATAAATACTTAATTAAGAGTAAAACCAGTGTACATGTTATTTGTTATTTCCAGCCTTAAATTGAACAAGGATGTAGAAAAGGATGAAACAGAAGCATTCTGTGTTAGATTGAACGGCCCTGCTGGCAGGTAGCGCTCATTGATTTATGGCTTTAATTAAATCCCAGTGTGAGAGTGTCGTCCTGTCGCCCTTTCTCTCTATTACAAACATAAACAAACCTCATCACTCTTCCTCCTCACAGGGCACTGTCATTATCATCGCCAACCACGGAGATCGGATTGATATTCCAGCCGGCTCCATGCTGGAAAACAAAATCGTATCCGGCAACCTCCGCATCATGGACCATTAACGCCTTGATAAAAACACCCTGCACGCACACAAACACACACACACACACACACACACACACACACACAAACAAACATCCTCATCATGTCGCCCATTTGGCTTTTTCCCTGTGATCTGACCCGTTTTTCATGTTTCCCCCCCGACATCAACAGATTGTGAGACCAAGTGTTTTCCCCTCAAGGCTTTGTGATGTGTGAGTGCTTGTGCTCTTCCACTCTGCAGGGGATGGGTGTAGCTGGGATATACTGCCCTCTACAGGCTGTTAATTATATGATATCAACATTTAATAGTATTAATAAACTCATAGCTGTGACTTTAAACATTGACCTAAAACCATAACCAGATTTTATTTTATATTCCTATATAGTAACTGTAGTGATTTAGTTTCTTTGTCACAAAAGTACAGGCTGGAAAAGTACTCACACAATGCACAGGGACACAGGAAGAAGATTGTTCAACTTATTGGGAGACTAATGTGGCTACAGGTCAAAGAACAATCCAGATGATTTTATCCCCATCCTCATCTTCAGTGTGCGCTAATGGAATGTTTTTGCAATCACATACTGTAGTGTGCTTACTTAGAAAAGTAAAGGGATGGTTTTTGTGATGGAAGAGTTAAGAGCATTTATTTCCTGCACAATAATCACACATTGTTCCACAATCAGCTGTGACAGAATATGTTCAAATGAAAGAAATAATGAAACATTTGACTATGAATTTATACCTGAGTCTGGAGCCTTTCTCAGCTCACGCTTCATAAGTCTTACACAGAGATAATATATAACAGTAAGCCACCATTTTTAATGTTTATTCTTTGAAATGTTGGATAAAGTTGATGAGACGGCTTACTGGAGAGTTAGTGTGAGTAGTGGATGTAGAGATACATTTGATCACATTTCTCTGATACAAATTCCATGTTGGGTCATAAATATGAGCGTCAGCTTCTCCTAAAAGTTGTTATTGGATGTATTTTGAATAAAAAATAATAGAGAAGCTTAATGTTGCGATGTCAACAACAGTATTTCATGAATTCATGGAACCATTTAGACATCAAGGCTACAAGTTTGTGCTAAGAAATTAACTGTGAAAATTCTTCCAGAGCAACTTTTACTTCCACATAAAAAGGCGTAGAACGAACCTCCACTGGAAGTTATTTATGACTTCAGTATCCCAATCGTTTGTGCCATAGAGGAGAAACTAAAACGCATACCTATGTTCTCCCTGAATCGCCTCTGTCTCCGCCTGATGACCTTGGTGTGATATTTCTGTATGACGACTTTAAGTATCCAGACATGACCCCAATGCCATGAACTCACATGTAATGATTGATCTAATATCATTTTAGAGTGCAGACCTTTAGATGAATCAAAAAGGCTTTTTTGATGAAAACTATCAACAATGTTTTGTATTATTTTTGCTCACATCGTGACCTTAACGTTGTGTGAAACCTCATGCCTCCATTACTGTGTCAAACCAGCTGTCTTCTCTGTTCATCCCATCATTCAGGGTTGTCCCTTCACACACTTCACAACAGATTCAGACGGTAGACATTTTTAAAACATGTACGCAAAGTTTAGATGTGAGAATACTTGAGATGGGTTCAATGTGTGGACTGAAAGCAATAAGTGTTGATCTGTGACGGTGATGAGGTCTCAGCCCAGCCCTCCTCTGCCTCCTCAGAGCAGAATAAAGTGCAATATGATATTACACGTGTCTTCCTTTGTTTGTACACCCACAATTTATCAACAATAAGCCAAGGGCAGGAAGTCAGTCCTGTTTTATATTTGCAAAAGTGAATTATAGTTTGTTGTAACTCAATAATGCTGTCACTTATGGATGAATGTATTCTCTAAATAAAGGAATTAAATTATCAGCATGACCATCAGGACAAAGTTCAGCAAGCCTCTATTGGGTCATTTTCCCTCTGTGGTGGGAAGGAACCCAATGGTACAGTGAGTTTCAGTTGTAATGGGGTGTTTTCTCCAAAACTGCCACAAGAGGCATTAATGAGCCCATTTCAAATTAACATTAAACTTCGACTAACAATAATAACAAACCAGTGTTTGAAATCTTGTTTTCTGGTTTTCAAGACAAAAATGTAACAGACTTCACAACCTGAATGGATAAAGTATGTATTCATCCAGATGAAGATTAGTTAGTGGACATGTGATTAATTTCCCCACCTCCATTAGCAAAGCTCATTCATTTCACTGAGCTTTTCTGAACTTAAAACCACTTCAGTAAAATACAGTAAAAACGTTTTTTTAGTATATGTTGTTATCTAATCTGGTTTCTGACAGCTTTCCTTTGATGTATCACTGTCCTAAGGAAATCATTTTCTTGTCCTTCTACTGGGTTTATAATTGCAGTTGTTAGATTGTGCTGATAGAGAACACATTGTCCATGGGTAACATGTTCCTGTCAAGAGTAAGATGAGATAAGGTATACAGCTCTCCTGTCGGGAGTAAGAGCAGTTGCTGGGCAACAGCCTAAAATCTCACAATGAAAAGAGGTTCCTCTAGTTTCCATATATTCAGTACAGACCTCTGATGTGTTTTTAAGAATTACTATGGTTGATTGTAAACGGTGAGATCTGGTAAATGAAGTTGAGAAACCATGTTACGCCTTTAGACTGTCGCCTCATAGTTAACCTTAAACACTAACATCAAAACTCATATTCATTTACTTTGATTTTATCATGTAGAAGGTTACAGTATTATATATCATGGCACAATGGGGGTTGCAGGTTGGTAACCCCGCTCCTAATCTACCATATCCTCTCTCAATATAAATGAATACTTTATATCCTCTATGGGTGGAGCGTAATACGTCATATTCTCTGTGGGTGGAAAATAATACATCATATCTTCTATGATTATTAATGAATATGTCATATGGGTGTTGCGTTAAAGTGGGGTGTAGTCTATGTCTATGATCAGATGTGTATCTGAGGTTATTCAGAGTAGGAGTACTACAATACTTCTCTAATTGATCAATTTCTCTTGATTAAACTTAAATGTTTAGGTGCCCTCTGAAATTGTACTACAAAGCATTAAGATACCACTAGTTCCAAGTTTGACTTCTGTCCTTCTTGATATACTCAATAAAAGAAAGTTAAGAAACTTGGTATGTGTGTTCGGCGGTATGTACTGGATTTCTTCAAGATATAGACAAGACACCAATTTTTAAAACAAGGGAGGGAGGTTTTCAACTCATTTAGGGTAACTGTTTTTGCTATAACCAGACCAAACCTCAAGACTTGTTGTAAAGGAGGGAGGGAGGAGTCAAAACATGTTTGGAGAAACCCAATATTACAGAAAGGCTGTCAGGACTTAGCTGTCTGTTATGTATGTCACTGTTTATTCCAAAGATGTTGTCCCAAAGAGTTTTGTGTTTAGGACCAGATATGGTGACCAGGGGTCCCACCTTCCAACTTGCACTTATCAAAGGTAGCAGAGACAGAGGGAATGATTATATTCAGTTTGGCCTTCGAATAGTACATACATTCTCAAGCAAAACTCTGTGTATCCTTCAGCTGTTGTGAATGAAGTCCTCTAATTATCAGCTCTCATGTGTTGAAGCGATTCCCTCTTCATAAAACACAACATTTCACTCAAACTTCATGGCTGTTATTACTATGCAATACTCACCTCTGTGCTACTGGTTTCTAAGCTGCAAGAACAGATTTATTTTATATCAAGCTGTTAATGCGAATCAAACTGCACCAATAAAAATGTGTCACTTTTACACTTTATTGTTGAAAGTTGTTACAAAAAAGTGTTTGCTGGAAACATTCTTTGCTTTCGCCTTTACAAGCACATAGAGACCAAGACACAGGAGAAGAGAAACGAGCGAGTGAGTGGAGGGAGGTGAGATGAGACAAGAATGACTGACTTACGTTTGTGTATAACAACAAACAAACAAACAAACAAAGGGGTTGAGATAACAGTACAGAGTGAGTGTGAAGCCCTTACTTACACACTTAATCCACAGAGGGATCCATGAAACAAACCTAAACTGTGTGAAGGAGACTCAGGACACAAAACCTTAAATCCAGAATACACCTTTTACTTTTGAGGTATCCTAAGAAGACCTTAGCAGTGTGTGTGTGTGTGTGTGTGTGTGTGTGTGTGTGTGTGTGTGTGTGTGTGTGTGTGTGTGTGTGTGTGTGTGTGTGTGTGTGTGTGTGTGTGTAGATTAGACACAGGTCATATTTTCTCTCCCTGAGGCGAGTTGGTGTGTTGCAGTCGGAGCACAGGATGAACATGACCCTTGACTGAAAAACGACCCACTTACAATCATTCTCAACATAAATTACAATTTCTCTCTCTCTCACACACACAAACACACATTTGCCTAGGGGTGCTTGATGTGTTTTGAAGGACAGTTAATGCAAGTTTTGTGTGTGTGTGTGTGTGTGTGTGTGTGTGTGTGTGTGTGGGGGGGGTTCTACAGTTTAAGTGTGTCACTCTCTTCCTACACTGACCGTGGCTGCACGAGTGCACTGGATGATCCACAGAGATGCGCTGCAGACGTGTTGTTGTGTGTATATCTGAGAGGATTTGTGCTTCATGAAACATCATGACCGTCCTCTCTGCACTCCTTACTTTGCCTCAAACTGTAAGTGGAATTGTTTGGGAAGAGTAAGGGGTCATGGATACGCCAGACTTTTTTTAGTTGATGCACATGCATATGGTGTCTGTCATTCTTAACAGTAGAAACTGTAACCTCCAAAACGATTTATGCTTAAGGTAACATTTTATAGGCATTTCCAGCTTTCTCTTTTTGTCACATGATCTTTTGTTGTAGTATTTTTGTATCTCCATTTCTCAGGGAACCTTAAGGACTGTGCATCAAACCTGAGTTAAACAGCTACAGTTGTGTTTTGTTGCTTACTTTGATGACTTCCTCAATTTACCTTTTCCCACTGGTATGGCTCAATGAACAGTCCCTATTATATAAACCATAATAAAAAAAATAAAAAAAAGCATCACTCCCAGGGGACTCTCCACTACAGAATCTTACAAAACAGACAGGAGTTTAATTTATTTTCAATTTAAACAGACAGGAAGGTTTTTCTAAGCAGCCAAAAGTTTTAATTACTCAGCTTAATGCAAAATTGAATACTGGTAAGAATACTGCAACTGGCTAAATGATCATGGTTTCTGTGCCAGTGGGACTCAAACATCACAGCAGGCAGAATAAACCCGACTTCACTTACATTTAATGAATGTATTTGACCTGGTCCGGTTAAACTGTGTGTGTATGTGTGTGTATATGTGTGTGTGTGTGTGTGTGTGTGTGTGTGTGTGTGTGTGTGTGTGTGTGTGTGTGTGTGTGTACATTAGCTACATTGCTGGGGTATCATGGCTGACCAATTATCAGAAAAGACTCACTCACCCACAGAATCATTTCACTTTAAAGGGAGGGAGCGTCACTCATGCTGTCTGAGTGTTACACAAACAGGACTTTAAGACTCAGTTTCCCATAATGCTTTAGGAGGTGTCTGTTCAAAAAATCTATTGCTTTGAATGTGAAAAGGCTGTTGTGATGCCTATTGAGTGGAAAACAAATAACTGAGGGGTTAACACACGTAGTGAGAGCACAGGGGACGAATAAATACAACAAATAGTTCTGAGAGGTTTACATGGTGGGTGGGTGTGTGGGCGGGTGGGGGAGACACAGAACAAAACCCTCAGAACACACCTAGAAATGTATCTCTGATCAACAATATACTGTGTTTTCAAATTTAAATGCTAAATAGTATTGAAGTATCTGACAGATAAAGGATGAAGCGATGGTTCCCAGGCCATAAATAAACATCTTTGTTTATAATCAGCTCTAAGAGATGTACACAGATGTATATTGCAACAATAAACATGAATAAAAACCGTTTGTTTGCGCTACGGTGTGTTGTTGTTTTTTTTGAAAAATACTGTTGTTGAAAGTTCTTTCTGAGGAACAAACAAAAGGTTTACCCAGCAGTGTTCTTTGTTTGGTTTTTTGTGTCTCTGGTTTCACATGAAAATATAGAAATCTTTGTTGTCATTCATGAAAAAGCAATACAAAGGTCACTTAAATATGAGAAAGAGACAAAAGGTCCAGAAAAGAGTTGTTTTTATCTTAACTGCAGAGGGTGAGGGGGGGGGGGGGGGAGCAAATCTGAGGGAGCTCCCAGTTTTTCATTGCAGGTCCAGACAAAGAAATCCCCCAATGCTTTGCTTCCACCAAAGGATGCTGGGACGCTGGCCCTGCTAGTCCAGCGGTCCCTGGAAGATGAGTCTGACGTAGCCCTGCTCACCAGTCAGCTGCTGCGCGCAGAATGGGCAGGCAGCGTGGAAGGTGTGCGTGCCGTGCGGCAGAGGGATCTGACTCCAGAAGGCTGCTGTCTTCTCCGAACAAACATGGCCGCAGGGGTTAAAGGCGTGAGTGGGTGGGGCGGCGTCGACGTAAAACCCTGCCTCGCAGCCCAGCCACAGTGGCACGTACGGCCCTTTTGCTCGGCACATGGGACACTCGCGAAGCCGTCCCTCGCGGCCCTCCCTCTCCTCGCGGTGGTTGCCCCAGTTGTGGTAGCCGTGCACGTGGCCGCACTGGAGGTAGACCCAGGGCTGCTTCTCGTCTGGCGTGTCCTTGCGTCGCATTGAGGGGAAGGCCAGTGTGTTGAAGCCAACAGGACACTGCGGCCGGGCCGCGTTGATCTCCTG